AACTCTGCCTACGCCTCCTCTTCATATTTGTCGTTGCAGGACACTGACTTCATAGTGGGAATGCTGCGTTTCATGTTGGTGGTATGTGCACGACGCGACAGAGTGGTGGTGCCTTTGAGCTCTGGTGAGACCCTTGAGGGTGATTGGGACAGCGCGATGCAGTTGCAACCGAACTGGTTGGGAAGATGCGTTGACCTCAGCAAGGCATACAAACAGGTGCCCATCCACAAAGATTCCCTGAAGCATGGAGTCCTCGGCTTTAACATGCCGACCGAGGGCTGGCAGTTGTTTACTACCAGCTCGCTTCCCTTTGGCGCTTCGTCGGCTGTGTTTTCCTTCAACAAAATCAGCAGGAGTCTTTGGCATTTGCTGGTGCACAAGTTTGGATTCATAATGAGTGTATTCTATGATGATTTCCCTGTCTTCGAAGTTGAACCGCTTGCAGAGTTATCGACCAAGATCGTGGATGCTGTCCTGAACGTTTTGGGGTGGCGACATGCAATGCAAGGAAAGAAAGCGGTAGGGTTTTCCGCAGAGCCTATTGCTCTGGGCGTTCAGTACCACTTGCAAGGGCTCTGGTCAGGAAACCTGACTGTGAGCAACAAACCAGGGAGATTGGAACGAATACTGGACTTGATAAAGCAGCTGAAAACTGAAGGAAGGCGATCCACTAAGACTGCTGCGTCCCTGGCCGGCCTGATGAACTTTGCCGGCGGTTTTGTCCTGGGGCACCAATTCAAGCTGGGCACCAATGCTTTGAATGACTGGGTTTATCACAGAGGGGTATCTGAAGCAGAGGCTCAGCAAGTTTGTGATTACCTGGAAGTGATCACCAAGTCTGTGACACCTTGAGTAATTGGGCTCCAGGATTCCGACACGCCTATAATTATTTATAGTGATGGTGCCTTCGAAAGCGGGACTGGGACTTGGGGCGCCTTCGTTTACGACCCTTTGGAAAACAAACGTTGGGTTTTTTCTGGGACAGTTCCGGAAGCACTTTTACAGTTTTGGAGCGAAACTGTGGGGGAGCAACTTATATGTGAGATTGAGCTCTTTGCCTACATATGCATTCGTTGGCATCTCCGACACTTTCTGCACAGAAGATATGGTTTGATTTTCATTGACAATGAGTCATCGAGAATGACGATGATAAAGCGTAGCTCTGCGTCCAATGCAATGTTCCTCTTGGTGTCCCTTATCAGCCTCCTAGACGCCATCCTGCCGTTCAGTGCTTGGTGCGAAAGGGTGCCTTCGGCATCCAACCCGGCTGATCTACCAAGTAGGAATGACGCTGAAACTTTATGCCGAATGTTTTGTGCAGTGAACCGAGGCGACATTTCATTGCCTCCATACATACTGAGTTTCCTCATGCGGAAGCAGTTCGACGTAGACCTAGCTGAGCTAGTGCGGTTCGAAGCTGTCAAGTGATCACGTGCGGCTGTGACTGAGGGGGAAAGAGCAAGCCACCTTGGTCGAAATTTGACCTTTGAGAAATATGTCCACCCACTTGACTCTAAGTGGGGGACGTAGAAGAAACTTGCGGTTGCGGAAACTTTCAACCGGACTTGTGACATTTTTCCCCCGACAAGTCGCTGAAAAGAAAAAGTGTGAGAGTGATCGCTGCACATTTGATTGTGACTCGTGTTCGAGCCTTTTCCACTGGTGCTGCAGATTCTATAGCTGTTATTCTATGTACTCTCGATTTTGTTTGACGAGCGAAAGACGATTTCGAACGGAAAGTTTGACGCGATCAGTTCGGCAACGAATTTGCGGTTTTCCGAATTATTTGAGTAGTCGATACCGACTATAACTTTTGGAATGGGGGATTTAATTAACCTCATACGATTGAGTGCTTTACTACCAGTGTGAGAGTGTTAGAAACGTGAAGGCTCAGCTTGCTGATCCTACTGTTTCTTAATAATCGGCATAGAGTTTAACTCGGTGCGTACACACTGGTTGTTATGTTGCGTTCTTTCTTCTCTCTGTGCGATACGCTGTCCTCGCGATCCCTGCGTGGATACACTGTGTTTACACGCGCGTGTCGCTTTGATCTAGAGACTTCCTCTGACATATTCTGACAGGTTCTTGTATTCGGTTTGTGAGGTTTAACATTACCTCAACTGATCTCTACTGAGCATGAACCATGTCGAACAGTCAATTGAACAGAGGTTGATCTCCACAGTTTTGTTTCTTTTTGGATTCTCTGCATGTCGATGCTGTCGTGCAATGAAATAAAATTTTAAAGAACTATTTCAATCCAAAAACACTGAACTGTTTAAACATCTTTCGTCAAATACAGACAATGATAAATGTCCGATGGCCTTTTCCTCTGGAAGAAGGGTAGGGTAGGGAGGGAGCTCTTTGAATTTGAAGAGCTATGACTTTTCTTTAGCAGAAGCCATTTCGTTTTCTCCCACCCATATCCCACCCGGGGGGAAAGAGCAAGCCACCTTGGTCGAAATTTGACCTTTGAGAAATATGTCCACCCACTTGACTCTAAGTGGGGGACGTAGAAGAAACTTGCGGTTGCGGAAACTTTCAACCGGACTTGTGACATTTTTCCCCCGACAAGTCGCTGAAAAGAAAAAGTGTGAGAGTGATCGCTGCACATTTGATTGTGACTCGTGTTCGAGCCTTTTCCACTGGTGCTGCAGATTCTATAGCTGTTATTCTATGTACTCTCGATTTTGTTTGACGAGCGAAAGACGATTTCGAACGGAAAGTTTGACGCGATCAGTTCGGCAACGAATTTGCGGTTTTCCGAATTATTTGAGTAGTCGATACCGACTATAACTTTTGGAATGGGGGATTTAATTAACCTCATACGATTGAGTGCTTTACTACCAGTGTGAGAGTGTTAGAAACAGATAGATAGATAGATAGATAGATAATGATCGATCGATCGATCGATCGATAGATAGATAGATAGGGAGATAGGGAGATAGATAGGGAGATAGATAGATAGATAGATAGATAGATAGATAGATCGATAGATCGAAAGATAGGGAGATAGATAGACAGACAGACAGACAGATAGGTAGACAGATAGATCAGTAGGTAGGTCGGTAGAGAATCAGAGAAAGATAGAGAAACAGAGAGAAAAAGAGAGAAAGAGAGAGAAAGAGTGAAAGAGATCAAGCACCTTTCAGTCCATCAGTGACTTCGCTCTGCCATCCCTGATTCACAACAACCAAGCTCTCCTATAGGTTTCCTATTTTTGAAACTTCCGCCACCGCCTTGTGCGGTACTACTGGGATAGTGTGTGTAATAGTATGTAATATAAGATAATAATCAACAACAATAGTGGGATATAATGCTCACTGGATTTGTGTAAGAGAAAATGTACAGGATCCCCCTTTTTTTTCACAGAGAAAACCATGGTTTCCTGTAGAATACCCCTTCAACCAATCCAGTGAAATGCTGGTAAATCATTTGCAAATCGCGAATTGCCCACAGCTATGTGAGGAAACTGCCAGAGTATATAGGTATATAATCTTTAGCTAATACGTGGGGACTCCAACTAACCTTCCAAAGAACATTTGTTCTTGCGGGGATCTAACCTTGTCCACGCTGTCTCGCACTAAATTAGAGAGATATATCGACAACAAGGAAATAGCTGAATAAACTTGGATTCAGCATGATTCAGCCATCAGCCAAAAAGGATCTGACTTGGGCATACATGGACTATATCCCGCTCCCTCCGATGATGGATCTTTCGGTCAAAGAGGATCCAATACTAGAAAATCATCTGAGCAGTGGCTGCTAAACCCTTGTGGGTTGATGCTTTTATGGTTTTGTACAGTCTTTATACTATCCAATATAATGAGAAATGTTCAGAATTCTCACATTGCTTGAACGCGGAATCTCGTTCTCAACTAACCGTTGTATACAAGGACGGCATTTCGGGTTTTGAACAGTGCTCACCAATGTTGGGTGCATTTATCTCCATGTTGGTCTAATTGCGTTAGTCCCAGTCATTTGACCATCTTTGTTAGTTCCAGATATTTCCAGCACATGCGCTGCTGAGGAAAGTCCAGGTATTGTTGGTGGATCCTCCAGTTATATATCTAGGTCAATCTTACATGGATACAAACTAATCCTTTAGTCTCTTGGTATTAATGGGAATATTTACGTTCACCAGCAAAGAATTTATCATTTTTTGCAGGGTATCTAAGATTGGAAAAAGGAATATGTTTGAACTCACTCTACTTGGGGCAGGGGTGAAACGGTATTCCCCTGGTGATCTCAACCGCATAAGTCGGGGGGTTTTGGACCGGGTTTAAGATTCTATAAAAGGGAATTGCCCAAACTATCCATGGCCAGTCAAATTAATCCCCAACTATCTGCATTGTACAAATTGCATTGTTGCATACCTAAGGTTGGTCATGATTTATAATGTCAACCCTGGATTAATAAACCCCTAGGCTCTTTAATTGGGAGGGTACCATTTAAGTATCAGATTATGACTATTGGAGGAGTACCCCCTAATTAATAAACCATGGTTTATTAATCCGGGGTTGACATTATCTAAGGTTGGTCATGATTTATATCCTTAAATGGATATTGTTTAGTATTGTCCTCATCAATATTAATCTTCATTATGTAACCATAAAAAATCCCAGTTGGCCTCCTACAAACGTTTACAATTTACGTGGACAATCGACCATGCAAGAAGATTATGTTCGGAATTCGGTTCGTAGTGGTTTTCCCACATGTTTTTCTATTTTTACCCTGGAGATCTAGGGTATCTGTTGGAATAAGTTGGTTTCTGAACCATTAAACCCTTTATCCCAACTTATTATATAACTGTGTTTTCTAAAATGAAGCCTAAATGCAGTTGGATCTATAAATGTAGCCTAAATCTGGTTCTATTCCCATAAACTCAAGAGTTCATCAAGGTTTTTCATCGATAACTTAGCTAAGTTTTCTCACATCCCATTCTCCCATACTATCCCATACTATCCCATACTATCCCATGCATCCCTGCAGCGTGTCGCCAGGTGGAGAGTTGCTATCCTCAACCTTGGATCCCCACCGAGGCGATGATAGCTTCATACTATGGGGCGAAGCCGCCATGGTGACTATTTTTCATGACTGGAACCAGAAACAGTTGGGATGAATGGATTATAGTGGTTTAATGGATTTTAATGGATTTTAATGGATTTTAATGGATTTGTCATTCAGCTGGGAATGGGGTAATCATCCCAACTGACTTTCACTCCATCATTTTTCAGAGGGGTAGGTTGAAACCACCAACCAGTAGTTGTATCAGTTGTAACCCCCCATAATACCCTAGTTAATCAAGTTTTTGTGCACCCACGTGGGAGTTGAAAACTAGGGGGAAAATTGTATGTGATAAATAACATTGGTTCTTTTTGTTCTCCGTTTTCCCATTGGTCAGATAAAGCAAAAAGGTGGTGTCCCGCATGTGTAAATTTGGTTATAAACCAATCGAATATAAATATTATATATATATATATATGTCTGTATATGAGACATGAGTTTATGGTCTGTGCATATGCTTGGCATAAACCCTACTTAACCCACTTATAAGTTAAGCCAGCTTTGGCCAAACCTTTTCGGGGCCCCGGTGTTGCAGGCAGAGTGTAAAACGGTGAGCCACTGCGAGTCCGATTGCCCCTACTGCGAGACGGTTGCTTGGTCGGTGCCTGCAGTAAAACTATGGTTTTGGACACATGCAGATTGATTTGTTATAAATATAGTTAATCAGTGTTAGTGATTTCAAGGTAATTGAACAGTGTGAACGCTTAAGAATTGTCTAGTGCAGTGGTAATGATTAGTCATTTGCTTGCAGTAAACATTGTTCAAATTCCATGTTGATTAGTAATTTAATGGGCCTTGAAAGATCATTTTTCATGGGTTTTCATATGGTTCACCAGAAGTAAGCACGGGAAATTTTGGTAGATACAGAAATGATTGTTGAAGATTTGTCCATATCTGATTGGTGGTTTGGAACATTCTTTATTTTTCCATATATTGGGAATAACCATCCCAACTGACGAATTCATATTTTTCAGAGGGGTAGGGCTCAACCACCAACCAGTTAGGATTGTATGATATAATTCATGAACTGAGAATCCTGTTCTTAGCCAGTAAAATCATGGTCCAATTTTCAGACTGTTTTGAACCTCAGATGACAAAGTGAGATGAAGCTGTTGGAATCGGGCTGGGATTTACCCTCTGGTAAACTAAGAGTTTGCTATTGAAAATGGCCCATAGAAATAGTGGATGTCCCCATTGAAAATGGTGAGTTTCCATCGTTTTTTGTATGTTTACTTCTGAGGGTAATTTCAGAAGTTGTTTCAATCCGATGCGAAAACTTGCCTACCGAAACTGGTCGACCTCGGATGTTTCAGCAAAAATGATCCATGAAGATGCCGTGAAAATGGGATAACAACATCTCAATTGATTGACTTTCAAAATCTGGTGCCAACGATAGCGGGCCCCGTAGTTCTGTTTGTTGGTTTTTCTCAACCCCATGAATACTAGTTTGTTATATCAGTTATATCCACCATAAAACATAGAATTCACCAAGTGAACTTTGCACCAACTTGTCGCGAGCGATTTCGTTGTTTCGGCCTCACGTTGTTTCGGTAACTCAACCACCAGTGTTGGCTGCGCCATGCTGCGCCCAGGATCAATTCTGGGATTGGGAGATGAAGAAGACGATGGTGGGAACATATCATGACCGAAGGGACGAAGGGACCGATCTCCGTAACACATGATTTGGGTGTAGGAATTCTTCCAAAAGTACCTTAAATTGGTTCCCCAAACGATAGCTACTGGTAATTTGGTTTCTAACATGTTATAACTATAGGTGATTTTTATGGTTTATGGTAGATATAACTACATTATTCATATTTCATAAGGTCAATGGTACTGGCCGAAGAGCTGGAAGATGCTGGAAGTGTTCAACTAGCAGTCACTTAAGTCATGTAGAAATTATAAGGACTGAACCTGGTTGGTGGTGACTGGAACCATGGAATTTTATGACTTTCCACACATTGGGAATTTCATCATTCCAACTGACTGTCACTCCATCATTTTTCAGAGGGGTAGGTTGAAACCACCAACCAGAGTTATAAGTACTGAACATTTCCATTTTCGACAGTTTGAGCCAATGCCAGCCCTTCGACAAAAATCCTGTTTCGGGTTCACTGACGCCTGACCGGACGCTTCACTCGTCAGTTTTCTTGGGGTTTGCTATTAGAAATGCAAATGTATACATGTCCTGCCTAAGAAACATGTCATATATACATATATATATATATACATATATATATGTATAAATATATATATATGTATAAATATATATATATATGTATAAATATATATATATGATCATATATGCATATTAGATTATATACTAGATTATATATATATATAGACACGCACATAAGATAGGTGTGGATAAAATCGCACAGATCGTGGATCTCCATGCGGAAAACATGGCTACAACTTGGTTCAGGATTTTTTGCACGCCAGAGGGATACCTAACAAGTATGGAATGGGACAGGGGAATGTTTGCTGCTGGAAATCCACTGTTATGGTGACCATATGCTTCTCACCACGTGTTTTCACAAGCTGCTTGACCAAAAAGCAGGCTTCCATACTACCCAATATACAGGAGAACATCATAACCCATGAAGTGGGAATACCCATTCACCATTTTTTCCACTCGTTTTCGCCACTCCTCATGTCGTTTTCTCATTTCGGGCCGAAGATTACGATAGCAGGTGAAGTGCAGCTTCGTGAATTCCAAGACTTCCAAACCACTTTCGGAAGGCCAGATGCTAATGGGGCGATTTTTTGGTGCCTTTTCAGAGATGACCTCTGGGAAAATTCGAAATTGCAAGAGGGCAATGAATGATGGTGAACGAGGTGTCCACAATGCATTTTGGAGTTTCAGGGTTGACAGCCCACGAGGTGATGTTTCGGTCCAAGGTACCCTCAGTCTTGCCTTATTTGAGGTTATTCATCTCCATCTGTCTATGTACCCACAATGGAAGCACTATGCCATGTTTTAGGCCATATATTTATAGAATTGTAGAGTAGATGGTACGTCCTTGCAGGCCTTATGTTCCAACGTCTTTGTGAACTTTGTATATGCATGGTAATATGCATTGTATGGATTTCGAGAAAATTTAGGTACCTTTCAATATTCTGACCTGGTACCCTCTGGTAAGTTAACATAACTATGGAAAATCACCATTTTTAATGGGACAATTCACTATAAATGGTGATTTTCCATAGTTATGTTAAATTACCAGAGGGTAATCATCTACAGCTCGCCATGGAAAACCACGACACATCTTCCATAGCGAATGTGACACTACTCGAGGATCTATTGAGGTACCCTCTGGTAATGACTAACATAAACTGTGGAAAGATCCATCATTTATAGTGAATGGTCCCATTAAAAATGGTGATTTTCCATAGTTATGTTAAATTAACAGAGGGTATTGTACAATCCAAAACACGGAATTTCTTCAGTGGGCGGGGAAATCCGTTTCGAAAATTCTCGGGTGTTCCATCTCAATTTGGGGCTCAGAGATTGGCACTTGACAACTGCTTCAGGTGCCACCAGTTCAGCTAACTCCTCAATGACAAGTTCGAATACCCTTCGGTAAACATTGCGACATGAAGAAAATAGTGGAAAATCACGGAAAATCCACCATACACCTAAATTCTAGATCATTTCTAAACTTCGGAAACCTCCATGGATTGTCATAGATATGTAAACCCCTTTACTGGAGGACAGCATGGAGGTGATCGAAACTTTTTCAATGCCGAATCCACGGGAACACGCCAAAACCTCGAAGATCGACCGGATCCAGAAAAGAATTCACACCCCCAACTGGATCCATCGTTTACAGAAGCTTTCATATTATATATATATATTCATATATAATAATATCAATGATAATGATAATAATGATAGTAATAATGATGATATAGTAATATCTTATATGATATCTTTATTTTGAGGATCACCCCACGAATTGTATATAGTGTAATATAGTGAATAGCCATATTGACAGAGTGGTTAACCCATGAATGATGGACTTACCGGGCTTACGAGCCGATTAGTAAATATGGAGATCCTCCAAGTAGTGTATATACCCTCTGGTGTTGAAACGTGGCTGGGAAACCCCTAGAGATCGACATTTGAAGGGACACATAATCTTTAACTGGTGAATGATCAATCACCATGTTTGATTACCAGATGGTATATTTGTTTTAAAGAATGAAAACTGGTTGGTGGTTTAGAACATGATTTTTGTTTTCCATAATCGAACGAAGTTTAGAAGTCAAACTTCCGACAATATGGACAGATGAAAAGCAGAGCAGGGAAGAGGCAGAGAGAAGAGGAAGATTAGAAGAAAGAAGAGTAGAAGAGAAAGAGTAAGAAGAAAGAAGATGCAGGTGCGCGAAAAGGTAGGAAAGTCGCGATTCACCGTGTTTTTCCAATGATTTGTGGCTCCAAAGGGTCGAAAAGTAGGCTCGCTAAAGCGGCGGGTGCAGAGCCAGCTAGCCAGATGAGAAATGAAAAATTGCACACCGTTGTGTCGCGAAGCAGATTTCCAAGTCAAAATGTACAAAACACACCAGTGTCGGACCACTTTTGGAAGTTGCGATGTCAAAAAAGTGCACGCCGTTGTGGCGCGAAGCAGATTTCCAAGTCAAAATGTACAAAACACACCAGTGTCGGACCACTTTTGGAAGTTGCGATGTCAAAAAAGTGCACGCCGTTGTGGCGCGAAGCAGATTTCCAAGTCAAAATGTACAAAACACACCAGTGTCGGACCACTTTTGGAAGTTGCGATGTCAAAAAAGTGCACGCCGTTGTGGTGCGAAGCACATTTCGAAGTCAAAATGTACAAAACACACCAGGTTCGGACCACTTTTGGAAGTTGCGATGTCGAAAAAGCGCACACCGTTGTGGCGCGAAGCACCTTTCCAAGTCAAAATGTACAAACCACACCAGCGTCGGAGCACTTTTGGAAGTTGATATGTCGAAAAAGTGCACGCCGTTGTGGCGCGAAGCACATTTCCAAGTCAAAATGTACAAAACACCACATGTTCGCGCCACTTTTGGAGGTTCGGATGTTGAAAAAGTGCACGCCGTTGTGGTGCGAAGCACATTTCGAAGTCAAAATGTACAAAACACTAGGGGTTCGGACCACTTTTGGAGGTTCAGACGTCGCTTCGCCGCTTCGCTTCACTACACTACACTACGTTACATTGCACCACACTCCACTATACTACACTACATTACACTACACTACACTCCACAACACTACAACTACAACTACACAACTAGACTACACTCCACAACACTACAACTACAACTGCCCAACTAGACTACACTCCACTACATTAAATTTCACTACACTACATTACACTACACTACGCTCCACTACACTACATTAAATTACACTACACTCCACTACACTACATTACACTACACTACGCTCCACAACACTACAACTACAACTACACAACTTCACTCCACTACACTCCAGTACACTAAATTACACTACACTACACTACATTACCCTAGACTACACTCCACTACACTACACTACACTCCACTACACTACACCACATTACACTACACTACCTGCCACTACACTTCACTACATTACACTACACTACACTACAACTACAACTACGACTACACAACTACACTCCACTACAGGAAATTACACTACACTACACTACATTACACTACACTACATTCCACTACACTCCACTACACTACACTACATTACACTACACTACAATACACTGAATGACACTGCACCACAGATAGACAGGTAGACAGATAGACAGATAGACAGATGAAAGAGAGATAGATAGATAGATAGATAGGGTAATTAGATGAAAGAGAGAGAGAGAGATAGATCGATAGACAGATAGATACATAGAAAATAGATAGGTAGGTAGGTAGATAGTCAGAGAAAGAGAAAGAAAGAGTGAGAGAGATCAAGCACCTTTCAGTCCATCAGTGGCTTCGCTCTGCCATCCCTGATTCACAACAACCAACCTCTCCTATAGGTTTCCTATTTTTGAAACTTCCGCCACCGCCTTGTGCGGTACTACTGGTATATGGAATAATCATCCCAACTGACTTTCATATTTTTCAGATGGGTTGAAACCACCAACCAGAAAAGTAACAATTCAAATCGCAGCTTTGTGATTAAACATGGGCATCTTGGTCCTAAGCAATCAGCTGATTGGTGGTTTGGAACATGAATTTTATTTTTCCATATATTGGGAATAATCATCCCAACTGACTTTCATATTTTTCAGATGGGTTGAAGCCACCGATCAGAAAAGTAACAATTGAAATCGCAGCTTTGTGATTAAACATGGGCATCTTGGTCCTAAGCAATCAGCTGATTGGTGGTTTGGAACATGAATTTTATTTTTCCATATATTGGGAATAATCATCCCAACTGACTTTCATATTTTTCAGATGGGTTGAAGCCACCGATCAGAAAAGTAACAATTGAAATCGCAGCGTTGTGATTAAACATGGGCCCAGCATTTTGGTCCTAAGCAAATCCCATAGGATCCATGAATGCTATATATGGTAACATTTACCATCAATATACCCCAAATGTTAGTATATATACCATACATGGATCCTATGGGAATCAGGTTTTTTTGGAGGCGTTATCAAGGTCCATCATCAATCTCAACGGGGGTAAGCCAACTC